TAGAATGGGTGGTAACTCAAATAGAGTATATAGGAGGACTAATGTCTATTTTGGAGGTTTTAGTGTGGTCTCTAGGGTAAAAAATGAAAAGGGGCATATTTTAAAATTGTCCTTTTTTCATTTTTAGCCTACTTTTGTGACCTAATTCTTGAGGCCACTCTTTTTAGGGGTTCTTTTTGTTTTGGGGTTTATTTTTGTAATTTTTCCTTCTGTGGAGGGCAGAAGAGGAAAGCAGTGGTGGAATTTATCACCCGCAGTTGGTTTAGGGTTATCTTTTTAGTAAAAGTAGGACAAGTTTGGCAACTTTATTTTTTTTGGTTGCTTCAGCCTATAGCTGGAGATGGTTTGTTGTGAGACTAAAGTGTAAAAATACATTTAACTATTAGTAAATGATTTTAAGAAGATGATGCTTATGTATTGAACTTTTATTCCCTTTGTCTCTTTTCCTTTGTGTATTTTATGTATTTTTATTTTTATTTTCTTAACTTTTGTGCTATATTCTTTTAAGATGTTGATGTTTATTTGATATAGACCACAAACTACATACGCTAGATATAAAGTAAATATACTGAAGTAGCAAGCCAAATTTAAAAAGCAACTGCCATCAGCCTAACTTTCTGAATGATTATGATAAACTATCTTTTATGATCGTTGTCAGCCTAACCGTCTAAGTTAGTGTTTGGACACAGATTTTGTTGAAATTTGAAAAAAAAAATGAGTTTTTTACCGACTGAGATGAAAATGATTTTTTGAATGTTGGGGTCGTGTTGGACAATGGGCATTTTACTTGAATAGGATTTAAAGTTTTGTGAGTAAAAAATTTTAAAAAATGATTAAAATTTTAAAAACAAACAGATATTTGAAAATAAATTTTAAAAAAAAAAGTTTCTAAATTTTATTGCCAAACGGGAGCCAAGTAGTTTAAATTTTTTTTGCCTTGCACTTAAATGATCATCCAACTAAATACTAATGAACCTCTGAATCTAACCCATTTGATCTGTTTTGCAAAAAAGAAAAGGAAAAACAAAGCGTTGAAAAATTGACAAAGAAAAGGTGGATACTTGTGTTTCAAAATTTGTGGATGAGATTCTTATCCCTGTCAATGGTGAGGACATTGTCCTTCCACAAATAAAAAAAGATAACTTGAGCGTTATTTATCTAACTTTACCCTGACTTAGAATACCGTTTATAGCCTTTTTTTTAAATACAGATTTTTCATTTTGGGGCAAATATTGAGTTTTATGTAAGTTTCACCTACTAATTACTATAACTCTTAAGGGGTCGTTTGGTTTGAATACGGCTTATGTCGGAACTCGGTTAAAGTTTGCCTGGGATTATTTTGTATCCACTGTTTGGTATGCTAATATGTTAATTGCATAATTTCTAAGAAGAAGGTATAAGTTATCCCGGTGCTAATTACCCCATCCTTTATAAGGTATAAGTTATTCCGGTGTTAATTTTAATCCGGGATATTAGTTATACTGGTTTGCTAATCAACAAAAATATTAAAGTAGTATTAAATTTTTATACCAACACTATACCTTTTTTACATTGTACCAAATGACCCTAAGTGGGGGATATGGAAATAAAATTTCTGGATGGTCCCACAAATGTTGGAAATTTCCTGGAAATTTAACTGTGAGTGTTGTGGGAAGAATGGCTTCTTCCAATTCTAGTGAGATCATGCTTAACGAACTACTGCTATATTTAATCGCACAAGCAAACAATAAGGACAAATTCCATGGCTTTTTTGGTGTTTCAATTCTAAGTCAGTTGGTGTAAAGAATCAGTGCATCTAATTACTTCTTCTGTCAACATATAATTAATTTTTTTTTGGTTGTCTCACACATATTAATTAATCTAGTTTTTATAATATTAATTAATAATAAAATTAAACTTATTAACCTTAATTTGCTCATTGGAAATACAACACGGTGCAATGCTATTTGCCGATGACATAGTTTTGATTGATGAGTCGTGAGCCGGTGTTAACGAGAGGCTGGAAGTTTGGAGACTGACCTCTTGAGTCTAAGGGTTTCAAGCTCAAGCATGATGAAGACGGAATACTTGGAGTGTAAGTTCACAGCGTGAGCCGAGGGAAGTGGACATAGATGTGAGGCTTGGATCAAAAGTCATCGCAAGTGGAGGCAGCTTCAGAAGACCTTGGGTCGGTTATCCAGCGGGGGAGGGGAGATCGACGAGGATGTCAACACTCCGTAATTGGGGTAGGATGGATGAAGTGGAGGTTAACATCTGGAGTCCTGTGTGACAAGAAAGTGCCACTGATACTCCAAGGTAAGTTCTATAAAGCGGCGGTTAGACCGGCCAATGGTGTATGGAGCTGGATGTTGGCCTCACATATCCAAAAAGATGAAAGTAGCAAAAATGAGGATGTTGAGTTGGATGTGCGGGCACGCTAGGATGGATAAGATTAGGAATGATGATATTCAAGGAGAAGGTGCACATGGCTCCCATTGATGACAAGATGCGGGAAGTGAGGCTCAGATGGTTCGGCATGTGCAGAGGAGAAGTCTAGATGCTCCGATAAGAGGTGTGAGCGACTAGTTGTGGAGGGCACGAGAAGAGGTAGATGGGCAAGCCTAAGAAGTATTGGGT